TGACGACCCGTATACGACGTGTCTTGAGCGCGACCGACCCGACCGGTGCGCGTTTAAGCCCAGGGGGTCTTATTAAAAAAAACTTGAGCCATAAAAGGCCAAGTTTTAATCACGTATAAATGAATCGTAAAGGAGTTGGCGAATGAGCGGAGGAAAAGAGGGGGGCGGGGGTGTTCAAGAGGTGCCCAGGGGGCGGGTAAACCCCGCCCGCACCACCGCGGCGTGGGGATCAAGGCATGAACGTGCTGCAGAACAGGAATCCTGAGCGTGTTTGACACATCCCAAACGCACTGAAGTTTTACACGTTTTATCACGCACAGTAACGATTTTGGTCAAAACAAAAATGTCACCAAGCGAAGCAGGGATGCTTCCATTGCTATGTTTCCCGGAGACGCATCCTAAAGATGTATGTTTCCCTACAAACTGTTTGTTTTTCAGAGTGTGGGTTGCAGGGGAAAAGGCATAACCTGGGCATAACGCTCTGTCCTTCTGCAGTGTATTTGTACTCGGTAAAGGGAAACAAGCAGATGGGTTTCGCTTTTGGCTTCCTCGGTGCTTTTCGCTGAGCTTTTGCATGAAGCGCTGCGGTCTCCACGCGGTACGCTGTGGGCAGATTGTCCAAGTCTTTCTCTCTCTCTCTCTCTCTCTCTCTCTCTCTCTCTCTCTCTGAGCCGACTGGGCTTTTGGGCCCGACCGGGTCCGGTACGGGTACGAAGTACTGAAGCTGCTCCTTTGTGAGTGGGATCCTTGTGTTCAAGAGCTAGCCGGCCCCGCCCCTGCCACCTTCTCCCGTTTACATGGGGAACGTAATCTCCTCGGAGGGTCTTTACCGCGCGTTGAAAGAGCACGGTGAAGAGAGTGGGGGGAGGAAGGGGGTCTACTAATCAGAAAGGACCACCGCGACCTCCTTCACAGCACCGCCCGGGCCGCAAGAACTCTTGTATGAATGGATGTATGGTCCAGGAGATCAACGAAACTGGCGCTGCACAGAGCAGGACGGTGGAGCCAATCTCCACCTAGACCGTCTCTTCAAATCCAACTGTATAACATGCAAGATGTCAGTATAAACAACTGAAGGACTAGAAAGTTTTACGCTTCAAACTACAATTTTCAGACCATAAATCGAAATATAAGTTCTTAAAACACCAAATCTTTTACGTCTTAAATTTTAAAATTGATGTTAAGTTTTCATTATCACAAGTAGGCACTGTTCTTCTTTGCATAAATACAACCGCAACAAAAACGTTCATACAGGGGTTTACTTTTTTATCGCGAACCGTACACCAAAAATGATTTCCTGGCAAAAGTTCACGCACGCCACATTTTCTCTTTTCGTAATCAAGGGGTGTCAGCTGTCAGCCTTTTGCGTATCATAGAACGCCGAGTGACAGTTGTTGTCAGAGAGAAACGGGTGCAGCGCTGCTGAAACAGGTCCGCATCTTGTGCACACTATATGTGCGTTTTTATTTAATTAGCATTCCACAGAGTGCAAAGTTTAAACGATTGGAAAGTGTGCAAATTCGGCTCACTTTGTTACACACTGGTCTTAGTAATAGTACAGCGAAACCATACCCAGTGTCAAAAGTTTCACATCAGGCGGTTGCCTTGCAGTTTCCCTAGACGTTCGCAAAGTGTGCAAAGTTTGTCCACACTGTAATGTTGAGTTTGAGATCAAAAACCAAAAAGTGCGCTAAGTTTCTACGTTTGAAAAACAAACCAATATCTTTGACCAGTGAGTTCATAGAAAATGTAGGTTCTACAGAATGTTGTGTTGGTCGGACAAACGGATTAGGGTTATTCGTTCTGCACCGCCACGTCGTATAAACGGTTAAGGGTTTGTTCTGAATCGCCACGACGCGTACAAACGGATATAGACCCGGGCGACTTGTAGAGGAACGCCTCGGACACGGAGTGACGCCTGTCGCTCTGATAAGCCCTGTGGGTATGGCGCGGGGCGGGGCGGGACGTCGGCCCTATCTTAAATGAGGGTCCGACGATAACTCTGCAACAAACTCGTGTAGCAAGTAGCGTGGGCGCGCAAAGGAAGGAAAAAAATTGGACACGACCAGAAAAGAAAATGTTGCAAACACACCGTTATTATTCAGGTCCCAGCTTCAAGGGATATGTAACCTCTTCATTTTCGCAAAGAGGGTTCCCGGCCGTCTCTTCCCTTCCCTGTTCTCGCCCTTCCCTCTTCCCGCTCGGGTCATACTCGTAATCAGGCGTCCTTTCTCCTCAAGACTCATTTACTTGAGCCCTTATTACGGATGGCTCCAGCCCTCATTTTCGTCCCTAAAGACGTGGAAATAAGTGAAACGAAATGGGGGACAAAGAAGGGGGAAAGAATCGTTTTAGTGCTCTAGAGTACGGCGCCCCCATCCCCCCCCCACTCCGCCGAGGACTCGCTCCTGCTTGGGAAACTCTCAATGTGATTCCCTTTTCAACACCTATCGCATTGTTAGTCCGAAGAGCGCAGAGTCGCAGAGGCGGGAGGTGGGCGAGAGCAGAAGGGGTGGGAGTAGAAGGGGTGGAGGTGGGTGGCGCGGGTGGGCAGAAAAAGGTTTGTAGCCGGTGGCGTTTGGAGGGGATTTCACTTACCGGCTGTCGAATGGGTCAACTGGCGCCCAGAGGGCGAGAGAGGGAACGGGGGTCCGCTACAAACATGCCGACGCTTTACAGTGCCAACAACTAAAACGGCGTTTCCTGGCTGGCCCGTAAACTCCGAATATTTTTAGGGGATTTTTTTTTTGTGACCTAAGGCAATTCAAATATGTGATCATTCGTTACATTTTTGTAAGCGTACTCCTTCCATGATTTCAAAAATATGTAAGTTAAGATATCTTTTAAATGTGTGAAATAATTTCGGTCGTGACCAACAGAAACAATAAAACCAATGCAATTTATTGAGCGAGGATTGCAGGAAAGACAATCGCTGTCGATTTTCATTTTCTGTGTTGTTTTGTTTTACTTTTCTGTGTAAAACTATTGAACGCAAACAGGATTAAACTCGAAAGTATGCTGCGTTTTAAAAAAGCGTATGTCGTAAAAGCTGAAAAACGACGTCAGCCATAAAAAAAAAGAAACAGCAACAAAAAAACTCGTCAAAATAGCCGGCGCCGCCAACAGCGAGGTGTGTGCTGCCAGCCCCACGGGACCGGGGAGCGCACTCTCGACCCGGATGCAGCAAGCTCTACCAACATAATCTACCCTAAAAGAAACAAAATAAAAAAAGACGCGCGATCCGGTAAAGCGGCAATACACTTGTTTGTTATTCAATTATTATTTCTCGTTCTGATAGCACATACTTACATAGGGAGGACGCCTAAGCGGTGCCCCCCACGCGATCCCTCCGACTGGTGCCCTGCAACAAAAACAAAGAAAAAAGGACGGTAAAAAAAACTTTTACTTTTTATTACCACAAATCAAGCTGCACAGCAGCGTGCCACGTGAACCGTAAAACCGCATGGAACCAATTGAGTTTCCAGCAGTTCATCAGATTCAATCACATTCCTCGACTGGTGCCACCACACCACCACTACCTGCCTCCCTCCAACGCGCGCTCGTCAATTCTTCTCCTTTCTCCTCCTCCTCTCTCTCTCCCTCCGTCTCTCTCTCTCTGTCTCTGTCTCCCTCTGTCTCTCTCTGATGTGTCGACCCGACCGACTGAGTCCTTACGGTTCATTTGCCTCTCTGGTGATTTGTGTCAAAGCCAAATAGATAACGCACGGACCCCCCCC